AACGTCCCATGGGACATGCCCAAGTTCTTCCCTCATGTTTACAAACGAAGTGCAAAGAGAAATACGTAAGAAGTTCTTCCCCAAAACTAGTGTGGTACGTAATGTACAAAGTCGGTTTGAGATTGCACAAGAATGTATGTGTGTGTGTTAAGGTGGTGGGTTTTTGTTTTGCTTCCATACAACCAAGTTTTATTGTGCCAATTTCACAAACAAAACTAGATGCACATGTCTATATACTTTCAACATTGACTCATTCTGAGTGCTTTGTAAAGCACAAGGGGAAGGCACTCTTCTTAACAAACATTTGCATAGACAAGCTTCGCCAACTGGTTCATAAGGCAGCTATCTAAAAGAGGTATGCTATTTGGAAAAATAATATTTCTTTTGACAATTACTGCCCCCCCATGTAAAGCGGGGAAAAGCAACAGTACTTGCTGTCTGAATTTTCCTTGCTATACAAAAAAGACCAGGTTTTATTTTATAAGCCATTAAGGCTTATACAGTAATTTTCTATATTATACAGCCTTTAGCGACAATGTTCAAACACAAAAATGACTAAAAATAACATTTCTTTAAAACTGAGAGGTATCACCTACAAACAGAACAATTTCAAACAACTAATGTTTATAATATTTTCTTACATTACTCATTTAATATGGTCACTGTACTCTTGTCATCCAAGATTGCCAAATTATTTCTGACAGATAGACAACCCAATCTTGAGACATTATGTACTTCATCTTTAAACTGTGCCACAAAAGCACCCAATTTTAAATGGTAAAATACACATGTAGGGCAATTATGAGTGGTATGTATGTGTTTAAAAAGCAAGATTTAGCATTAATAAGCAGTGTTTCTTGTGTAAAGAATATGCTGAAAAAATTGCTTTCTGCTTAAGAAAAGTGACATATGTAATTTGCTTATATGTCTAATTAACAACTGTTGTCAGTGTAAAAAAAATCACCTATTCAATTCCACCACCAGAGTCTGGTATGATCTATATATTTCCACCAACATCTCTGAAACCAAACTGGACCTAAATTCTGTACTACACATAATCAGGCAAACCAGTCTCTTTCTATTTCTATATCTTTTTTTTCCCTCTCTGGTCTTTGGCTTGCAAATTTCTTATATTAAGACCTAGCACTTTTAATGCAGCCAACTTTATTAATCTAATTAACTGCAGTTTTACCATACAGGGCTTAGGAAAGACAAATTTCACAAACCATGTGTTATGGTTGAAGCCTGATTCACATGAGCACGCTACTGATCTGTCCAATCAGAGGGCTGCTCGGCTGTCACTACCTTGGTAAATCTGTAACCCACAATCTGCTATTCATGTCTCCCACTCTATAAAACAAATTACTGTTTTTATATTTGTATAAATACGTATATGGATTAAATTAGTTTCTTCTGATATATGTGTGGGAAATAGTTACTCATCCTTCTGAAAAGACTAAAGAAAAACAAAGTGCTTAATTATTTCTAGTGACGAGAATCCCCCTAAAATATTTTTGCCAGGTTCCCTTTGGAAAGAATATGTTAGAGTCATGCATAATCGAAGCCTATTTTTATTTATTTATTTATTTGATTGATTGATTTATATCCCGCGCATCTGATCTATTCGACCACTCTGGGCAGCTTTATTTCAATGTAAACCCACATCTCCATTCTGCAGCAGTCTGCCATCTTCCACGGGTGAGATCCCCAAGAAGGAGGGATCTACATACCTAATAAGCATTATATACTATTCCTTTTTTCTCTATACAGTGGTGCCTCGCTTAGCGATTGCTTCGTTTAATGATGTATTCGCTTTGCGATGGGTTTCTTTGAGGAAATTTCCCCATCGTTTAACGATGTTCTCTATGGGGGAATTTCACTTAACGATGTCCGTTTTTGCTCATTTAAAAGTGTCTTAAAATGTTTGAAACCTGTTTTAAATGCTTGGATTCGGTAGTGCACCTTGTGAAACATGTGCAAACTTAATTTGGTTTTGTTCTGAGTCTTCGTTAATTTTTGGTGATTTTTTGTTTTCCCCATTTAAATCCATTGAACGGAGATGGACTTAAATGGGGAAAACAAAAAATCACCAAAAATTAACAAAGACTCAGAACAAAACCAAATTAAGTTTGCACATGTTTCAGAAGGTGCACTACCGAATCCAAGCATTTAAAACAGGTTTCAAACATTTTAAGACACTTTTAAATGAGCAAAAACAGACATTGGAAAGCCATTCAAAAGCACTGAAGCCGGCTTCATGGCTTTTGACTTGGTTTCCCTTGGGGGTGACGTTGTTTCACTTAGCGATCTTTCCTATGGGGATTTTTGCTTAAGGACGGCAATCCGTTCCCATTGGAACAGATTAACCGGTTTTCAATGCATTCCTATTGGAAATGGTGTTTCGCTTAACGATGTTTTCCCATAGGGATGTTTTTTTTTTAACCAATTAACATTGTTAAGCGAGGCACCACTGTATATATAGGTGTATGGATGTATCTTCCATTTAATCACAGGACACTGGCATGTTTACCAGTTCACACAAAACGGTTACCAGGACCTCAATCAGCACCTGGTAAAGTCCAGCTTTTGGGGGTGGAGAATGAAGGGCTCAGTTCAATCATTCTATGACTACTCAGCCAAACCTTCTATGTGGCACACTCTACAGCAACTTCACTGCTACTTCTTTCTTTAAAATTCTCACAAACACAGCAGGTTTACAGTGTCACTGGAGGTCCTGGCAGCTACAAATTTCTTGCATTAGTCTGTTAACACACCCCATCATTTAGCTAAAATTATTTCTGCTAACAATGAATGACTGTAACAAAACCCAGCCTCTTCACAGAGTTCATAAGCATATGAATAGTCTGGAAAAAGGTCTTATACTTGTAGCAAAATTAGCGCTACTCAGCGTGGGCTGGAGAGGTTCATGTAGAGTCACAATCTGGAGAAACCTCTACTGTTTACCACTTATTAATTCCCATGACAAATAGTATATAATGGCAAAGGATGCAACCAAGTCAGACTTGTGAATTATAAATACACCTGTTGTCATGTGTGCATAGATTGATTCTAATACATTTCATATTCCCATACTAGCTTTTAAAATTGAGTTTATTACCACAGTTCTGTGAACAGAGTCCAACAGACTCCCCCTCACATAAAATCCAGAAATGCTGAAGACATAGCACAACTGAATGCTTTATATCTGTACACTGACAAGATCCTTTGAAAAACAAAATCTACTATGGGTGTACCATCATGGCAGGTCAGCCCAAAGTGATAATAAATTTGTAATGGCCTTGATCTCCCAAATGGTTAGTTGAGAGAGGAAGAGCATTTATAGCTGTTGGGCAAACTGAAGAGAATGGAACCCAGATCTGATGTTAAAACACATCAGTTTAGGACTTGGCTTAGAGCTAATGAGCTCAATCCACCCAGTTCCTGTGCAGCTTCAATGCATTACAATTGGATTTCCTAAACTGAAATTATACAGCAATAGTGCCTCTAAGATTGTACTCACAGTGTAAATATTTCTGCTTTACACTTACTTCCTGTTAAGGTAAAGCCTGGAGGTTTCTACAACTCCATACTTAGTGCTGGGAAATCAGTAGTTTTAAAGTCTAGATACAATACAACTTCAGAATTCTGAAATAAAAGTAGTATTTAGGAGCAAAATCTTACCTCATGCTGTGTTTTGATATAAAACATGTTTGTAAAAATACCTCAAGACTGAAGTTAAAACCCCTTCATCTTTTCTATCTCTCAACACTTTATATTAAATCCACTATTTTAAAATTACAAGCAGAAACTCAGACAAGACCCACTCTGAGTCCTTCTTTGAAAAATAAAAGTGGAATATAAATATCAATGCTAAAGAGTCATCTACTTTATATTGCAAAAATTGAACTAGATAAAATTCCAGATTTTCCATGGAAAGATGATTCTCTAATAATATCAATATAGTTTTTAAAAGATCTCTGAAATCAGACTTTTCTGTTTCAGGGCAAGAGAAATAATCTTACACTTGTTTCTAATAACAGTAACCTAGATTAATTTTCAATCTTCATTTTCCTAAAATGACTGGTGGGAGGGACCTGGTTTGAGAGATTTGGCTTTTGCTCTGAAACATGGCCCTTCTAAAATACCTAATACTGTACTGAAAACCAACTGTACTACTAAATCTTCATATTCCAGTTTTAAGGTGCTCAAAAAAAGGAATCTGACTGACTAACATCTGCATCTCTAACTGTAGTCATACATTTAATCTGACATACATACTTAAGGATATTTAACCTATTGAACAAAAATAGCCAGGTGGGTTTTGTTTAACAAACTGCAAACTTTTTATCAAGAGTAAGGGCTCTTTCTATAGAAGTAGTGGGGAGCTACAGGTTAAAGAATAAATTATAGGGAGCAGGAAGGAAGGAGTGGCAAAGGAAACATGCTCACTTATATAAAAGAATCATCAAAAAGTGTGCTTCTTACTGGCAACTCCTGAGACAACTTCTGCCAAATGTAAGCAATTGTCATTGGGATTTATTGGAACTGGTGGTCATTCCAAGAAAAGTAAGAATCAGCTAGACAACTATATCTGATTCCTATGCACCTGTCAACAAATCTGCTTCCATGTTGCTTCTCTGAAGCCTGAAAGATCCAAGACAGTCTTCTACCTCTAGTTAAAATAACATTCTAGGCATAGAAAGAGATCAGCAGCAACATTAAACATCAGCGTAAGTGATTTGAACCTTCAAAATGAAATTGATCAAAATGTTATAATAATTTAAAGAGCTGATAGCCAAGGGAAAAGGATAATTCAAAATATAACCTTCTTTTCAGTTATGTTGAATATGAATTTTGAAATGACTGAAGCTCAGGACTAAAACTCCACAATATTAACATTAAAAAGGAGACTATGAAAAATGATTAACCACCTATCTTACCAGCCTGATGAATTTTCAAAGGTGTTTACTTCCAAAAGCTTCCTGCTGAAATCAGTGAGATTTATAGCCAACAAAATTTATTTAGAATCAAGTCTTCTGAAGTGAACAAATTAGTAACTCTTATGTGAGACAGATGTTCAGTACTGCTCATGCTGGTTTCTCTATTTGTCTGGAAATACGAGAAAAAGAAAGCTGCCCAAGTTTGCATTATTATAATATATCATATATTATTATTAGCATTATTATACTCCATCCATCCCCACAGGTTGTATCTTTAAAGTCTAGGAAAATGTAACTTCTATGGAGGTTCCTCATTTTGGACGAGTGTCAGATGCCTTGTCCTATCTGAAAAACATTCAAGTATTTCTTACTTGAGACACTAGCGCAGAGAAACTATGTGACCCTGTGTCATTTCTGATACTTGGTGGAACATTGAGACTTTAAAGAGGCAGTGTTACGACTTGCTTGCCACAAAGCAAAAGTGTTGCCTTCATTGAGAGAATCCCACCCTAGGGGGATTTACAACAGGAAACACAACAACTTCCTGTTCAAACAAGTTTATGCAAAACGATCCTGGTAGCCTCTTTCTATGCAACTTACTTCTGAGCTATAGTAGATCCTCTCTGAAGAATCTGGAGGTAACTGTTATAGAACGGTTGCTGCAGAATTTCAAAACTACATAATAAAGTCCTTTCATAATTAAAAACCACCTGCAAATGTTAATGTCTAAGTTACAAACAAACTGGACTTGCAGGAAGTAGCTACTATGAGAGACAAAGGGAGAAAGAACGAGAGAGAGAAAGGTGAAGTACCCTCTAACTTCCAGTAACAATTAAGGATATTTCATAAGCTATATCAGCAACCACATCCCCATCCTTCTACAATGTCTTTGCTATCAAGTTTGATGCTATCTGTATTTTGCTCACTGAACATGGGGCCTCCATGCCTCATCATGAGCTCCGTTGCCATCTTAACAAAAGCTTCCTCCACGTTGCTAGAGTCCTTCGCAGATGTCTCTATGGCACAGATGATATCATAGTGTTCAGCCAGACTCTGAGCCTCCTCTAGCTGAACCTCTCGAAGGTCACTTAGGTCAGACTTGTTTCCTGGCAGGAGAAAGTGGAATTGTTTACAGATTAATTTTTTTAATGTAACTCCCAAGGTCAGAGAAAGTGTTCAGCCAAGGGAGTCTAGGAAAAGACAGACAGAAGCAGGGACTCATGGAACTGTGCTTGGAGAGCAGTAAGACCCCAAAGATGATGTAAGAAACCAGGTTGGAGATGAGAGGCCAGGATGAGATCTCGGAGATGAGAAAGAGCAGGTGAAAATGGAAGCTGACAGAAGGTCTGTGAAGGAAGGATGAAGAAATCTGAGCAACTGAAAATTATAACATTTGCAATGTTGTATTTTGTCAAAGCATGCACTCTCAGCACAGTAAGACTATGGAGCTAAAAATTCTGTGTACTACAAATTATACACTCCTAAACCAATTGACTCAGATTGTCTGTTTTGTATCTCATTATCTCTGGAACGTACATGACAACACATGTCTACACCAAAATTTTATAACCACATCTAACATATGGCAGCCATAACTAGGATCATAAGACAAAAGGCCAGTACTATTTTGAATATTTCCGAAGTTAGCAATGCTATTCAAAGGCCTGGAGTGCAACTACACAGCAAAGGAAATGTGAATTCACTCACTGTGAAGTTGCTCCAAAGAATTCAGGTCTGTGTGATTTAAGTGATGCCCCCCCCAAAACCAGTAGATAATGGTTTTTGATGATTTTGTCGTTGTTGCTGCTGCTGCTATTTGCTTGCAGTTCTGCTTACAGCCCTGTAGATTGTGCTATTACAAAGAACTGCCCTACAAACAGTAAAAAGGCTTCCTACTTCAATTTTCTCATACAGTTATCTCATTAGCTTTTAAAAAACAAAAGTCTTGCCCTCAGAGACAAGCTCAATTTCTTAACTTATTGAACAAAAACGGAATTTAGGACCAAAACAAAATAATTCAACTTTTAGAAAGTAGAGTAGTCTCTTTTGGGGAGGAAAAAACACAGACTGGGGGTGTGGGACTCCAGATTGATTCACATTTCCCATTGGATCATGTGATCAACAGGATAAAATGCGGATCAGCCTGCCCCAAACCCACAGTATTTTCTGCAATTTTCCCCCATGTAGATTTTAACAGTCATATTACTGGAGAGACTAAGGCATATTGTGATGTCCTTATGCAGCTTCAGATTCTTGAAAATGTTTTGAAATAGGGAATTTTGAAAAGGCATAGAAAGCTGCAGAATCTCAACTCCTCCTGCAAGTGACCAAAAGGGAAACTCAATGGGTGACCATTGATATAATGATATAATATACCAGAGTGGTATAATATACCAGATGGGCGGGATATAAACAAACAAACAAACAAACAAATAAGTAAATAAATGACCTTTAGCAACTCACTCTCCCACTGAACTAACTCACAACAAGACTGTTGCCAGATCAAGTAGACAGAACAATGTGAGGTCACGGGGGGAAAAAGTTATACATGTGATTAATAAATAAATGAAAGGAGGTGTAACAGGGACTGAAAGCCAACATTTCCAAATTTTTATCAGTGGTTCTATCAGTGAGTCAGACAGCAAATGAATCCACTGTGAAAAGAGTGAAACATCTCTCCATCTCCAAGATCTTCAGGAAGGAAAATAATGTCTCTACTGACTGATACTGTCCTATTATACTTTGTACTGTATTTTGAATTCATTCAAAAACAGAAATAATGTATTGCACTCACCAATAAGGAGTTGCACTATGTTGGAGCCTGCATACTTCCTTACATCCTCGATCCAGCGAGGAATAGACTGGAAAGAGCCCCTTTTGCTGATGTCATAGGCTAGGATGGCTCCATTGGCGCTTCGGTAATAACTCTGAGTAATGGTCCGAAATCTTTCCTGGCCAGCTGTGTCCCAGATCTGCAACTAAAGAAAATGAAAAAGACGTTAATAAACAATTCTTTAATCACAAGGTATTAGCTGTACTTTTCACACAGTATTTTTCCTGTTTACAAAAGCAAAAGACAGATTTACTTTCACTTCAGAGTACAAATACTCTGTGGGAAAAATATGTTGTAAAGCTGCACCCAGGCATTTGGGTTTCCCTGGATTAATTAACTTCAGCTGAGCACATAGGAGTCAACAGATAGAATACACTGGCACTTTGAATTTGTTAGCACCTTTGTTTTCCTGATATAGAGGAAGCACGGTTAGACAAAGCACTGTAACAAGCTGGAAATAAGGCAGACTGATAACTTCTCTCTCTCTTTTTCCCCTTGCTCATCTAGCTACACTAGCATTAGGGCAACGAGCTGAAGAAAGGCAGGCAGGAAGAAACTGTAAAGGAAAGGAAGAGGAAAACAAGCAGACCTAGATAACAGGTTTGAGGTAGAGTGGATTCAAATGGCTCCCGGTTTCCCTACTGCCCTGCCTATCTCATGGCTGCTGTCGCTGGGTGTGATGGCTTCCAATGGAACAGTTACAATCCCTTCCACATCAACTCAAGCAACCATACTGCCTTAACCAATGCAAATGTATTTGATTCTGAAAAAGTAGAAGCCTCAGCAATGAAGGAAAAACTAGACTACGGAGAAAAACTTCAAGCTAATTTGGACCAATTTGTAAATAATGAAATCAGTGGAAAGCAATGTGTATCTGGCTGTCCCAATCCATCACATTATCTGTTCCCAAAATCTAAGAGTACAACTTAGCTCAACAAAACTAAAAGCCTCTTCATAGTGATCAATTATTTAATTTTCTTTGCACACATGATAGTGGGCTGAAATAGAGCCAAAGCAGCAACACCAACCAATGATTTTTTACATTTTTTGTTTTGTTTTTCCTCTATTAGCTCCAGGGCAGATATGTTCATGTAGAACTTAATAATGCTTTGGTCTGTTCTATGCACATTTTGGGTGGGTGTCATTTGATTGTATTTCCATATGAATATTTTTCAGCTGGTCCATCTCCACACCCTGTATATGAGTAAAACAAGGAGGAAAATGGAGAGAGAGAAAAGTTGGTGGGGAGAAGGTGGAGAACACAGGCAAAACAAGAGGGCACTAAGTGTTGGAAATAGGAATTTTAGGAACTAATTCTCAAAAGGTGTGGATAGATAGTACCAGAAGGGCCTAAAGATCCAACAACAAATCTCCTCTCTATGTGTGGATACCAATATTTATTTATTTATTTAAGCATACATCACTCAATTTAGTGTGAAGAACTACTCTGGGCAGTTGACAATAATTTAAATAACCCTCCAATCAAATTGTTAGATGATCCACCCACATCACCAGAGTCAGATCCCCAACAACCCAAAATCAACACAATGCACAATGAATACTTAGATGGCTGACAAATGACCCATGTTTCTAGTTGATGCAGGGAGAGAATTTCTCTAAAGGTTTCCTCAAAGAAACTGCCTTTAGCAATTTCTTAAATGCTTTGAGGGAGGGGGTCTGATAGATCTCTATGGGAAGGCTGTTCCAATGATGCAGGGCCACTACCAAGAACAGTTGGTTCAATGTAGATGCCTTATTATCCTCCCTCAGAGTGGCCACCTGTAGAAAACTGGCCTGCATGAACTGGCATGGGTTGATGTTCTTTGGAGGATCACCAGCATGGACTAGTATGGTCAGGGACGCCCCCCCCCCAACCAAGGTAGGAATACGACTGGGCAATCTGACAAAGCTGACTAAAGGTTGACCTTTCTATTGCCATTATCTGACGTTCCAAAGAAAGGACTGGATCTAAGATCACTGCCAAGTTACACACTTGGTCATTACGAGGAAGTATAAAACTGTCCACCTCCAGGGAGGTGACTATTCAACCTGTCCAGGATTAATTGTATTTTAATTGTTTTATCTTTTTTACTGTATTTTAATTGCTGTAATGCCGCCCAGTGACCTTTGGGTAGTGTGGGCGACATATAAGTTACATAAATAAATAAAATCCTGGATGACCTATCCCAATGGCTTTACATAGATATTAAAAAGCACTGGGGAGATAGGCGACCTCTGAAGGACCCCACATTTGTCTATGGGGGCAATACTATCTCCCCAAAATGAAATCTCTTGACACAGTCATCAAGAAAGGATAGGAACAGCTCCCCAATCCCCAAAATAGCCTGTCCTGGAGGATATTATGGTTTATTGTATCAAAAGCCACTGAGAGATCAAGGGGAACCAAGAGGGTCATTACTTCCCTATCAACTTTCCTTAAAAGGTCATCATGTGCCATGCTGTGGCTTGAACCTTGACTGGAATGGATCCAGTTAGTCCATTTCTTCTAGGAATGCCTGCAGCTGCTCTGCCACTACTTGCTCAGAATAGGAATACTGGGACACACTATGGCATATAGCCCTCTGTGAGACAGGGGGCGAGAGCAGTAACCCTCTCACCAGAGTGCCATCCCTCCCCCACACTGCATTGTTACCTTGGGCCCACTTCATCCCCCAAGAGAACAATACAGCGAGGGACCGATACACAAGATTTAGAAAAATACGAAGGTTAACGGTCGAAGGAACTCAGGGAGATATGGCAAGAACAGAACAGAAGGAGAGGGTGGAGACAGAGGCGGAGCAGCGGATATAAAAAGGAGGGAGGAACAGTTGCCTCCAGGCTGGGAATGGGTCTGGATGGAGGATCCCTGGACTGGAGATTGGGAAAAGCTGAGCATACCCGAAAAGGAGGCTGATTACAGGAGAAGGAGAGGGATTCCCCCTAGACCATCATGTTGGGGAGAAGCAGAAGCCAGGGAGTGGAGATGAAAGCTGAGAGAAGAAAAAGAGAAGGGAGAGAGAGAGAGAGAGAGAGAGAGAGAGAGGAGAGGGAGGGTGAAATGGAGAGTGAGAGAAATGTGGAAGAAGGACTACCGGGAGGATCCTGGAAGACCCCTACACCCACTGGATGTTCGATGTGGGTGGACGACCGGGATGAGGACATTGTGTCCCTGCTGGAAGGTGAAGCGGGACCAACGGTAGACCTGAACTTATCTATGGACTGGCCAGATCCATGGGACGCTGGAGAAAGGAACCTGTTCCTAGATAAAGGATGGAAGTCCCTGACTGACCCATTGTCGGAATGAGAAATATGTTGGGATAACATTGTCGACACTGGTTATTCCAATAAACTTTACTCCTGTTTCTAAAGTGCAAAAATCTCCTGATTTATTTGAACAAAGAAAGGAGCCAGGAGGGTTCAAAGATTGAACCCTCACACCCTTCTGTAATGATGAATTTATCAATTTAAAAGCCAGGATGGGCAAGGATCAAGCACTGGTGTTTACAGTCCACAAGCGCTCTGGTGACGTCCTCATATGTTACAGGGTGAAACATCCCACCAAATCAGAGAAGACAGTGCACTGGGGGATCTCAACACAACCAACCATAGTGCTGGCAGAATGCAGATCATGTCAGATGGTTTCTATTTTTTTTTTTCCTAAGGTGAGCTGCAAACTGGTCACAACTAAAGTTCCCATATTGAAGTCAACTTAATTGTCCAGGAACAGTGAGGTTGCAGATCACCCAAAATAGCTCTGCTTGCTGGTTTACAGCCTCACTGATTATTTTGGTGTTAGATGCTTTTGTGGCCAGTTTTCCTCCATTTGCTCTCTGGCCCTCTCCTGGATGACTTCATAACCTGAAGCTAATCTGTAAACCACAGAAAGGAATGGGCTCTGGAGAGGGCATTTGGGAGTGAGTAAGTCTACTGCTTGGACCACTTTGGTATACCACCGATTGACCTGAGCTTTGGTGGGCTCACCAACTAGATCAGTCAGATACCCTCCCAAAACCTATCAGACTCAAGGCCGGACTATCTTCATCACTCTCATCTCCCCATCAAGGGGGGGGGGGGAATACCATGATCATTACAAATTTCAGCATGTGATGATCTGACCATGACAAGGTGAAGGACTTCATGTCTGTCATCCTTAGACCATAATCTCCTCAAACCGTCAGAAGAACCAGGTCCAGAGTGTTTCCTGTGCCTGATCACATGCTGGGATAGGTCCAAGGAAGTCATGGATTCCATGAACTACAGGGCCGCTCTGAAGACCTCTGTCTCAGCATGGATATTAAATTCCCACAGCAACTTTAAGTTGGACAAGCTGAACAGTGCAACCAAGACAAACTCTGTCAGCCCTGGTAGGGATAGTGCTGGGTCATGGGGAGAGCAATATACCAGCACCAGCTGAAATCTATCCCCACATCCCACTATCAGGTGATGATACTCGAGGATAGTCTGTTCAAATCTGCAGCAACAGTGAAATACCTGAATGACCCACAACCACAGAATGACTGCAGACTACACTGCTATATGGACAAGTCCTAAAGCATCTAGACACAAATGTACCTTGGTGATTGTTCAATATCATATTTGAAAACAGTACAACATATGAGTGGAACTGGGTATGCATGGCATGGTCATCTGCAGACTGTAAATCTCACTTAAAGATTAAAAAAAAATTCAAATTCTCCACACAGAAATTACAGGTTTTCAACAGCTTAAGTGGCCATATGTCTAAAGGTAAAGGTTAAGGTTTCCCTTGACAATTTTTGTCCAGTCGTGCTCGACTCTAGGGGGCGGTGCTCATCCGCGTTTCCAAGCCATAGAGCCAGCGTTTTGTCCGAAGACAATCTTCCATGGTCACATGGCCAGTGCGACTTAGACACGGAACGCTGTTACCTTCCCACCGAGGTGGTCCCTATTTATGTACTTGCATTTGCATGCTTTCGAACCGCTAGGTTGGCGGGAGCTGGGACAAGCAACGGGCGCTCACTCCGTCACGTGGATTCGATCTTACGTAAATCTCACTTAAAGATTAAAAAAATGCAAATTATCCATACAGAAATAACAGGTTTTCAACAACTTAAGTGGCCGTATGTCTAGAACACTGTAAAAAATATGGATTGCTCTGGTCTCTTG